GGCTGGCCGACACACGGCTGTGCTGGTTTGGTTTCTTCCTCCAAGGCTGGTTCTAATCAGTGTTGATAGGGGCCGGGAGGTCCTGCCCATGGCCACCCCTCTGTGGGGCACCGTAGGGCGCAGGAGTCTCTCTCTGCTCCTGTTTAACAGGGTGGGGTATCATCAGTACGCCATGTTGGGTGACCCAAGTATTGCTGTGGCTGCCCTTTCATGGTGTCTGGAAGTTGTGGGGTTTGGATGGGGAGAACAGCTTTCAGTTGAATCTTGATAAGCTGGAGGAGCTGTGGGTGTGGGATCCTTGGGATCCTTTATCCTCTTAGTTCTGGATAGGGTTGCACTGGCCAAGACAAGACTCGGTGCACAACTTGGGGGTTATCCTAGACTTGCCATTCCTGGTCAAAGAACAGGTGGCAGTTGTGGCTAAGTAAACCTTCATATTCTGCAGCAGTTGTGCCCTTTTCTGGATCTTGTGCTCGGTCACTCATTCCTTGATCATCTCTTGTCTGGATTATTGCTATGTGCTCTGCATGGGGCAACCCTTGAAGAGTATTCAGAAACTACCATTGATTCAGGATACACAGTGGTCCTACCTGTGGCACATGTAACACCACTGTTGAGTGAGCTGCACTGGTTGCTGATCTACTTCCCGGTACCGTTGGCTATCATCACCTTTACAATCCTTTGTGGGTCTGGGATATCTGAGGAACTGTCCTGCCCCAATAGCACTGGCCGGCCCCTCTTGTTCTCTTGGCAGCAGAAAAGGCCTGTTGTGGAGCCCGCCAGTCCAGGAATTTCAACTTTTCTGCCACTGCTGCTCCTCTTTGGAGCAATCCATCCCACCCGCTGCCCCTGCTGTGGCCTTCCGGAAGGGCCTTCAAACCTGGCTCTGGGGCTGGCTTTGCCCCCCCCCCCCATTGAGACACTCTGGGTTGTGGGGTTGGTGCAATGACAGGAAAGGCACCATCCCCCCTCCACTTGAGCCCGTGGTTTTTGTAAATCTGTGCTTAGGTAAAGATTCCCCTCGCACATCCGTGCTAGTCGTTTCCGGCTCTAGGGGCCGGTGCTCTTCTGCGTTACAGAGCCAAAGAAGAGCCAGCGCTGTCCGAAGACATCTCTGTGGTCATGTGGCCGGCATGACTAAATGCTGAAGGCTCATGGAAGCGGTTCCCTTCCCACCAAAGGGGTCCCTATTTTTCTATGTACATTTTATGTGCTTTTGAACTGCTGGATTGGCAGAAGCTGGGGACAAGGAATGGGACCTCACTCCGTTATGCGGCGCTAGGCGTTCGAATCTTTCTGATCGTCAAACGCAGCGTCTTAGCCACCGAGCCTGTGTAATTTTGTTTTAACGTATTTCTATTTTATTACATTGTAAACTGCCCAGAATCACTTTGGACAGCAAGATGGGCAGCATAGTAATTTAATCAATAAAATAATCCTGGAAATTGCATGGATTTGTACGTATCAAGTCCCCATATGAAGAGCTGGTTGGCTTTGTGTTTTTAAGCCCCATTGAGGTCCTTTCTCCTGGGAAAGCCAAGAAGGCTTCAGAGGCAGAGCCGGGAAGGTCCAAAAGGAAGCTGAGAAATGACTGAATGCTGGTTTATTTCTGGCCGGCCATCTAAACCAGAGGTCTTCAAACTTGGCAACTTTATTATATTATCCTCACTAACGTTCTACAGACTTGACACCCCAGAAGTGCAGACCTACTTCCAGCTATGCTGGCTGGAGAATTCTGGGAGTTGAAGTCCACAAGCCTTAAAGTTGCCAAGTTTGGGGACCTCTGGTCCAAACTGTTCCCTCACCAGGCACAGCAGAAAGACAGCTGCTGGCAGATGTTTCCTCCCCCCCCCCCCCATCAGTTGGGGTGAACTACTGTGGTATGGGATAATAGTAGGCCTGCATTTCTTGGGGTGTCTACAGACTTGTAAACGTTAGCGAGGATAATGTGTTAAATTGGGGGGCCTCTGAAAATGGAGAGGCTTTAGTGGGAGAAGCCAAAGAGACGAGAAAAGTAACCAGCTGACCACTAAGGCTGTGAAAAAGAAGACGATATTGGAGGAGGTGGGTTTGACCCGTGACTACCTAGGAATTCATTAGTTGTATTCCTGGAGAGGAAAGAGAAGCGCATGGTTGCACTTATTGTTTTAGAGGGTCTGCTAGCTGTTCTCTTCTTTCATTCCTCCCCCGCCCCCCATTTCTCCATCCAAAACATGACTATCACCCCTTTTCTCCATCCAAAACATGACTTGGAAGTGAAGAGATCTTTCCCTGGACCCTCCTCCCTCCCTTCAGGGGTGAAATTCGACCGGTTTGGCCTGCACCCAAGCTGCACGATCACCAAACTGCGAGGGGAACGGGTAGAATCCCACCACTGCCCTGCTTCCACCAGATTACTGGGTTCCCATTGCTCTGCAGCCGTGTTCTTCCCCACAGCTGCCCAGAAGATAGGACACGACGTGGCCTCTGTGTGTGTCTGGCACATGTGGATTTGCGCGAGTTAAAATTAGGCCGTTATGCAAGGTCCCAGTCCTGCGATGCGCCTGGAGCAAGGAAAAAGCCGGCCTGGCCTCCCCCCGCCCCCTTTCTGGAGTCTTCAAAGCCCCATTCTTCTGCCTGCCTCATGCGCCAAATATGTGCGCTCCACGGTTGCTGGAACAGCAGGCAAGGCCTCCTGGGGTGGGTTCATCAATTGCCCGGGGGGAAGGGTTAGCAATCATTTCATGCCCAGGTGTTGTCTCCTGTGGTGGGTGACAGCCATGGCTTTCGAGATCCTGCAAAATTGCACGATTCTTGGATGAAGCTTTGCAGAGCAGGGGTCTCCAACCTGGGCCAGGAATTCTGGGAGTTGAAGTCCGCCAGGCTTCAAGGGGCCCAGGTTGGAGACCCCTGCCATAGAGAAGGGAGGCTAAAATCTCTTTCTCTTTCAAAAAGCTTTTTGTGTGTGTGTGTGTGCGGTTCAGTGGATGCCCTCTTCAAAGTGCCCACGAACACCCTTGCCCCGAAATTGCAGGCTGTGCGTTGATCTGGATTCCCAGGAGGACCCACCAGTGCCCACCTTGCACCGGGCAGGACCTCCTGAAGTCGGATTCCTGGTCTTGGGGAGACTGGCAGGGAGGGGCCATCCCTACGGCTTCCCCCTTTTATATCCAGTAGCCTCGTAGCCCCCCCTGTTTGCAAACCTCCCCTTGAAACCACCACTTGGGCATCCTCCTCTCTCCGCCCTGCTCGGGATCTTCCTGGGGTGCAAATCTTCCTTTAAATTCAGGGTGTTGAAGTCCAAGTGGAGGGTCTCCTGGTTGAGCAAGGGGCTGGACTAGGTGACCTTGAAGGGCCCGTTTCCGGGTCTGTTTACAACTCCTGGATCGCACAACTCCGCACACAAAGAGATGCCTTCTTATGGGGGGGAGAGGTTTTCCTTTTCAGGACCCGGTGTGGTGTTTGCTCTGCTTTATTGGGGTGCGGTGGGGTGGGAGACCTCCCTCCCTCCCTGCCTTATCTGTTCCCCACCCTGGGGGCCCTTTATTCTCCCTCAGGCCTTGGTGGGGGGGAGGGGGCTGCCTGTGCTGGGCTGCTAATTAGGTTGGGTTCTAAGGGGAGCAGAGGAGGCCAGTCCCTCCATCCCCCGTGCCCCCCCCCCCGAATCTGCACAATGAGAAGAAACGGTGTAAGAAGGCAGGCTCTGGCTCCCCCCCATTCCCCCCCCCCTTCTTGCCTGTTTTAAGAGAGCTTGTTAACTGGAGGCACAAAAGGACCTGCTCTTTTTGGCATGCCCCCCCCCCCAGGGAGGGCCTAATCCCTTGGGCATGGGGGGGGGGGGCTGAAGGTTGTATGCGTGTGTATGTGTGGGGGGGGCTCCCGGCACCATGAGTGGGACAAGCAGGGTCTCCATAAGGGGAAGGGTCACCTTTCTCCCAATCTTGGGAGATCTGATCAGCGGGCCCAAAGGGGGTGTCCCATTCCGGAGGAGGCTCCTGGATTCGAAAGAGACCCACCTCTGCATTTGTTGTCCCCTTCCCCTCCAGCGCCTTTGGAACAGCCTCCCTCACCGTTGTCATTTTTGGCTTTTATTTCAGTGCAGTTTTTTTATTGTTTGTCAGCTGCTCGGGGTCGTTTCCGGACACGATGGGGCTGCACCTGTAAATGTCATCAAATAAATAACTAAACCTGGGGCCGCTCAGCTGGGGGGGATGCTGAGGCTCTAGGGACCATCAGCCGCTTTGGGCAGGGCTGGTCCGACCTCCCCCTGTAGAACTGGCGTCCCCTTGGCAGAGGGGGGGCGGCAGGAGTAACTCTAGACCAGAGGTCTCCAACCTTGGCCACTTTAAGACTGACTGGTGGACTTCGACTCCCAGAATTCTCCAGCCAGCAAAGCAGCCCTTGAGATCTGCACAAACTGCCTGCCGTGGGTCCTGGGCGACAGGTTTGGGGGCCAGCAAACAGGCGTTGGGATTCCTCTTTAGGATCCGCCTGGCTCGCCAAGTTTAAAAGAGCAGCTTCTCTTGTGGGCAGGGCGACCTTAGGGAGAGGGCCAAAGGCCACTGAGTGGACAACCGCCGAGGAAAAGGACTCTCAGCCCAGAATAACAGAGTTGGCTGGGGGGGACTTTGGAGAGGGAGCAGGAGATCCCATCCCAGAGGTCTCCAAACTTGGCCCCTTTAAGACTTGTGGACTTCAGCTCTCAGCATTCTGGGAGTTAAAGTCCACAAGTCTTAAAGGGGCCAAGTTTGGGGACCCCTGGTCTAGATGGAGTTTCCCTCCCACTTTCTCCCTCTTGGATCAGTTTCAGAACTTTAAAGAGGGAATGACCACCGTGTTGGGCCGCTCCGGATCAGGACAAGCCGATCTGCGTGGAGGAGTCTTCCCCCGATGGCAGCCCTGGGCAGAGGGGAGGCCCTCAGGCTCACCGGTCACCTTGCTTCTCGTGCGCGGAGTGGGCCTTGGGCCGCTGCCCTCCTGGCTTTCCACAGCCCTCATGCCTTTTTCTTCTCTCCTTGCAGCCACGTCCAACGGGTCCCTCGAGGGCTTGGAGAACAGAGAAGGCGGAGTGTGCCAAACACGCTCCATGAAGATCATCATGAAAGTGGGACAGGGTGAGTGGTGCAGAACGATCCGGCCTGGAGCTTGGCGTCACGGTAGGAGATGACCTTTGGGGGCCTGGAGTGACTTGGGTCCTTCCCAGAATGTCCAGGGACCTGGAGAGGTTCATTGCAAGGCCTCTGTGAAACTCCTTCCCGTTCCAGACGTTTTTGACCCAGAGTACCATCCGTAGCTGTCCTTTCCCCAGGTGGCTCCTTCCAAATGAGCCGAGGCTCCTCTTTGCTTCGGCCGGGTGGCTGCGGCCCTTGTCCCCAAATAGAGGAGCACCTGATGGATGAGAGGGATTGGCTGCCCCTCTCTGGGCATGGGGTAGAATTAAGACCCTCCCTCCCCCATCGCTTTTGCAGGTTTAAATTGCCTTGATTCAGGAAGCTAAATAAAAGAACAGAACAGAATGGAATAGAATATTCTTTAATGGCCAAGTGTGGTTGGACACACAAGGAATTTGTCTTCAGTGCAAATGCTCTCCGTGTCCATAAAAGAAAAGAGACATTCGTCAAGAGTCGAGAATCATCAGATGCAACACTTAACAATTGTCATAGGGTACAAATACGCAATCAAATCATACGAGAAAACAGTCAATAAAAATCGTTAGGATACAAGTGACAAAGTTACCATCATACAGTCACAAGTGGGAGGGGATGGGTGATAAGGAGTGATGAGAAGATTAACAGTAATAGTAGTGCAGACTTTGTAATAGTTGAACAGGGTTGAGGGAATTATTTGAACAGGGTTGAGGGAATTATTATTTGAGTGATGGCTTTTGGGAAAAAAACTGTTCTTGTGTGTTCTGGTGTGCAGAGCTCTATAGCATCGTTTTAAGGGAAGGAGTTGAAACAGTTTATGTCCAGGATGTGAGGGGTCTGTAGATATTTTCCCAGCCCTCTTTTGGGCTCGTGCAGGATTCAGGTCCTCGGTTGAAGGCAGGTGGGTAGTAATTGTTTTTTTCTGCAGTCCTTATTATCCCCTGAAGTCTGGGTCTGTCCTGTTGGGTTGCAGAGCCAAACCAGACAGTTATAGAGGTGCAGATGACAGACTGAATCATTCCTCAGAAGGCAGAAATTATAAAATGCAGAGCACTGAAAAGACATAAAGGGGTAGGAGGGGGAAATTTTGGAAATGCCTTCAGTGCTATCATATCAGGCAAGAGGGATGTTCCAGCTAGGGGGCCTTTGAAAGAGCAGAAGAAAGTTGGGGCGCAGAGCCCGTGTGGAAGAAGCCCGGATGTTCTGAACCCGTTTCCAACGTTGGGCCCCCCCAAAGTAGCTTTGAATTCACTTTCAAGATTTACATATGGAAATAAAATTATTATCCTTGTAGAGGAAGCTTAACAAAACATTGTGCATCATTAAGAGAGAAGGAGGTGGGAAAGGCGTTAACCCATTTAGAAGCCTCAGAATAAAGGCCTTCCTTGCACCAGCTTCATCCCGCAGGAAAGTGGATGCCAGAGAAAATCCTCTGTCCAGGGAGCCCTTTTGCATGGCCTACAGAAGTAATGTGGGCAGAAATGGGCAGCCTTGCAAAGTAGGAACCAAGAGGCGGAATTCCAGGCTGAGGTTTCAGCAAGGAAGTCGCTATAGTCAAAAACAGCATAAGAATGTCAATTTGGTTAATGAGATTTGCCAAGAACGGCTCCAGTTGCCCTGGCTGTATACATCCTGCACAAATAATATGAAATACAGCCATCTTAACTTCTCATAGGAGATCTGCAGTGATGACATCTTTCAAGCTGATAGCAATTGTGGTAGAACTAGCTAAGTAAAGGTACTGGAAGTCTAGGGGTCTAGGACAACTTGCCACGGCCAATTCGCCACAGCCAACTCAACATGGTCAGTGAGTTGGCCACGGCGATTTGGCCACAGTGAATTTATCGTGGCAAAACGGCTATGACAAGTTGGCTGCGTCAAGTTGCCCCATTTTGTGAAACCTGACATGTTTTGTTGAGGTTTTTGAGAAAGTAACTTCTTTGTGGACTTTCAAATGTTGGTTAAAAAAATGAGTTTTTTTCTGGCCTACTGGCATGGGTGGGGACTTGGCTTTGTTCAGAAAAATGGATGCAGCCAGTTCTAGGCTGCAAAGGAGGCCTGGCAAATGCTTAAAGGTATGGATGCCGTGATATGCCGCCAGGGTCAAGTGGTATTTCCTGGGCTGGGGAAATGGGAGCTTAGGCCCCTTTGACTGCCCACTCGAGGGAACCCCCAGGGTTTCTGGGAAAGGCAAAATGCTGTGGAAGCGAAACGGTTGTGGGAAAGGGAAAAAGAGATTAGGACATCCTGGAAAACAAGCCAAGCAGACAAGCAGGGGAACTGCCCAACATTACCCCACAGCCCTTTTGAAGATACGAGGGTAGCAGGTGAGGCCCACGCTTGGTTTCTTCCAGGGTTGAATGGCAGCAGACTCAGCTGGGCTGAGGGGATTGGTGTGCTTGCCAGCATTAGCTGACTGACAGGTTTCTTTCTTTCCAGCTTGATCTCTCCTGGACCAAAGCCAGATGGAAGGGTAGAAAGGTTTTTCCTGGTCCGAAGCAAAGCCCCCCCCCCCCCAGCCTTTGGTCAGCTGGTATCGTGGGGAGTGCCTCCTTGGCGCATGCAGTGCCGGCCTTTCTGATCACGGGGGATCCTTGTGTCTCTTGGACAGAATGTTGTTGGCTATTGAGAGGCCAAGCATTCCATGAATCCAAAGACCGGTGTTTGTCAGTTGGCAAATAAGCTTCAATGCATGTTGGTTGGGGACATGTGCATAGGAGCCGTGATGGCACAGTGGTTAGAATGCAGGATTGCACGCTGACTCACTGCTCAATGCCAGCAGTTTGATCCTGATCGGCTCGAGGTTGACTCAGCCTTCCATCCTTCTGAGGTGGGTAAAATGAGGACCCCGATTGCTGGGGGCAAGAGGCTGATTCTGTAAAGTGCTTAGAGACCAGGGCTTAAAAAGGACGGTGAAGTGATATATGTCTAAGTGCTAGTGCTGTTGCTATCTCTGCTCTTTGGATTTCCATCCGAGAGGAGAGATGTAAAGAGGACTGCCTGTGCCCGGGGACATTAAAGAAATACCAACCTCTGTGCAATTTTAATTGGTTCAGGTTCTTGATGCTGGAAAGGAAGAGTCAAGTCTGTGCAGCTGTAATTCTGTGGTAAAATCTGAACAAAACGCAGAAGCTTTAACAGGTCTTTAGTTGAAGGCAGGTGGGACAGACTGGTAAAAGCCAAAGGCTCTTGGCACAGGGAGCAGTTGGACCTCTGATATGAAAAAGTTCTGCCTTTCTCAAATGGAGCATAGAGGCGATAGGCAAATTCTGATTTTGCATGGGTTCTGTTTGGCAGGTCTTTCTTCTGCCTGCATTTGAGCAGAAAAATAATTGATGTGTGATTTCTGAAATGGTTGGGTCCTGTCTTTGCTTGTTCTGGCAGCGTGGTGTATATGTGTTTTGATATTAAACTTGCTTAATTTCCCCCCGTGTCATTGCTTGAAATCAGTTTGGGGATTGTTTTCAGCCCAAGGTTGGCATTTTTGCCAAAAAAAATCTAAAAGGGGAAATTGGAGAAGGGAGTCTCTGGGAGTTGAACTGTACCATCCCTACAATTTTCTAGACAAGGTTTTTCAGAAGCGACTTGCCATTTCCTCTTTCCCAGGACTGGATATTGTAGCGTTTAAAGTGTTGCCTTTGGTGCGGGAAACTGGGGTTCAAATCCTGGCTGCTATCTGCCTAACCAGCAAAGACCCCCCCCGCAAGGCTTTACCTACCCACCTTAAAATGTGAGAGTGTCCCAAAATAGGAGAGCCATGCTGGATTTACAAGGCCTTCATCAGATGTTGAGGAACCAGGACAATCTGATGATAGCTGGGAACACAAATGAGAGAAGAGTCATCAGATACCCTACCGGTATAATGAATTGGCCAGAGAAAGACCCGGAAGCTGCTGGTGTGAAGACCTGCAAGCTGTTCACAATGTATGGAGGATTCCACATTGTATGGAGGTCAGGGTCTGGTCAGCGTCAAGGCTACTGTCCTGGGTGAAACCCGGGGCGTCCAGAGGACATCAGTTAAGATGGCACCCAAAGAGGAGCTGCGGAGGGAGCACCTGAGGCGGCAGCAGATGCGAGTGGGAGGAAGGTCAGGCAGAAGGCATGCCATGGTCAGATGAGAACCTGCCTGGAATGTACCATCGACGGAGGGCTGAGATGGCAGACACTGGGAAGATGCTACCAGTGGCTGGAGAGGGCTGGGCTTAAAGAGAGAACTGAGGCTCTGATCACATTGGCACAAGAACAGGCGTGAAGCACCAGATCCCTAGAAGGAGAGGTCTTCCCACTAGACAGGATCCAAGGCTGTGCAGAGAGGCCTCAGAGACAGTCCAAGTAGCTGGCATTGGGTGCAGGAACACCTGTATAGAATTTGGGCCGGACCCTCCTGAGTCTAAATGGGAGAACCCACAGAAGATCCTGGAGAATAAGAAAGCTAAGATCCTGTGGGACTTCCGGATCCACACAGACAGGCAGGCAGCGGCCAATCAACCGGACGTCGTGGTAGTAGACAAGGCCCAGAAGACAGTGGAGCTGATGGACGGGGCAGTGCCAAGTGACAGCAACACCGGGGAGAAAAGGAGTAGGAGAAACTGGAGAAGCAGCAGAGCCTGAAGGAGGAATAGGGAGGATGTGGACGGTCAAGGCCAAAGTGATGCCAAACAGTGTGTTTGTGTGTGGGGGGGGGGGGGGGGGAGGGGGGGGATGGGTGGTGGAAGCAGCCGAGTCCAGGTTGACCAGTGTGCAGGGCAGCCCAACTGAAGTGCCCCCCACAGTCATAAATGCAGGTCGGCTGTCAAGGGATGGAATTCCAAGAGCCCTGGTGGCACAGTGGATAGAGTGCAGTACTGCAGGCTTATTCTGCCTACAGCCAAGAGTTCAATCCTGACCAGCTCAAGGTTGATTCAGCCTTCCATCCTTTTAGAGGTCGATTAAACGTGGGGCCAGATTGTTGAGGGCAAGAGGCTGAC